GATAGGGTTAAAATTAAAAATTGAAAAAAGTACTTCAACCGATCCTAAGTAAACTTCATGACAAATTCAATTATGTTTTTAGGTTGCTTATCGGATCACTGGTTAGGCCTGTGCGATGGAATGAAAATGATGTGTTATGAATCTTGAATACATTAAATATTAAAAAATAAAATATTTTACAATTTGCCGATTTTAAATTAAAAGTATACTTACAAATTCTTAATACAATATTCATCCGACCAAATTGCTAAACGAGCTGTTTTAATGTGACTTATTGTGTCTTGCTATATTACTTAGTTGACTAAAATTTCGACAAAAATAGTAAAATAGAAGTATATTTTGCAGCGTTCAATCGTTGGTTGACATAGCTGGTAATTTTTTTTAATATTTACATTACACCGCCTTTTGGTTTTAGACCTTTTTTTTTTGTCTATTATTGCTTTTAAAATTACTCATTCAACTAAGTTTACATTAGAGAATTTAAATTAAAATTCGATTTATATGGCTTAAGAACTAAACGTGGAATTTTTTAATTAAATGTAGGTGTAGTTTTAAGAATTATGTTAAAATATTAGACTTGTATATACAGTGGTTTTAGATAATGATATATTTTCAAAATATGTAGTCAAATTTCTTTTTGTTAAGGACAAAAAGAAAAAAGTTTAAAAAGTTAAAAAATGAAGAAAAACTCTTATATAATGTAATATTGTTATCTTTTTTTGTCAGGTGTATGTTGATGACGCTAGCTTGCATTTCACACCACTTGCCTGTCTTTACCTGTAAAAAGCCATAACTGCTTCTTCTTCGTATCGTGTCCGGTGCTGGACTTTATAATTATAGTTAAAATACATTAAAAAATAAGTAAAATATAAACAGTGTTTAAAAAATAATAAATAATTTTAAATATTTTGCCCGAGCCAATACTGATATAGCATTTTCGTCGACAAGCGCCAAGTCGTCAATTGTGCATCTCGGCGGAGCAAGGACGTATTGTAGTAGGCGTTCATCTGATTGACTCTCACCGCATTTACATATGCCCGGTCCTTCTTGGTATCCCCATTTTACCATGTTAACTCTTGTCTTGGCTACTCCGGCTCTTGGCCTATTTATCGTTTTCCACATGGGCCATGGTAGGTTTTCGCCTGACGGTAGGCGTTCATCAGGTGTGTCTGGTGTTTCAGCTTACAAATGGAGCTTACTCCATTTTTGTAGTCGATGCTGGTCAAGGGGATCCTGGATCACATTTGTATTGACAATGAATCTTCTTCTCGATTTAAATCTCCTTCGTGGTTTTAAGTAACCATACATGGGGTGCCTTTGGTTTATAGATTGTTTTGTTCTTTCAATGCATGTGGCCACATATCTCTGTATTTCCCCGCTAATGGATAAATTTTAATCGCGTAACTTTGAGGCATCCTGTTATCAACCTACAAGTTTCAATTAGTGCCGTATCGACGAGTTTAATATGTTTTGGTTGGTTCCCTATTGGGCAGGCGTACTCGCCAGTGGAGAAACGTTTGTTTTACACCTGTTCTTTAAATGTTGAAGGAGCCTCCACGAATATTGTGTACTTAATTGTAACAATCGGGTGCCACTGAAACGGCGGATTTTTATAACCGTCAACCAATCTATCAAAAACCGGTGCTGGAATGTCCTAACTGCTTATAATTGTTATTTGAATATTATTTTATCTACATCCCACTAGTGTTTATTTTACTCTATAACAGAAAAAAATATAATACAATTATCACCCAAACACGATCTTCATCCACAACGTGTAACAAGACCAATTAACACGCGCTTTTTATATTCAAAGACCTGTCAACGAAGGCATTAACAATATTATAATCTTTCCATATTTCTTTTTTTTTGCATGAAATTAGAAATGGATTGAATGGACATGACTATAAAAACGATAAGAAACATTAAATTGCCAGTGTGAATATTTATCCATATAATATTATACGTTTTTGCGACTTATGTTTTTATTGAAATATTTACAGAAAATGATTTTCATCACTTTCAGTTATAATTATGTTTAGAATCGTAAACTCCTGATGATTTGGCAAATAGTGTATTGATTTTGACAAAATTTACAAATGGAAAAAATCGCACAATTTATTTAGTTAAAATAATCATTATAATCAACTTAATATGTACCATAGGGATAGTTTATAGCAAAATATATAAAGTTCGAGATTATTTTGAGATAGAGTGAATTTTGTGATGTCGCGTACACGTTGATTATAAATGCAATAGTAGTAGTTTTATAGTATAATATAAATCTGTGTTGCATTACAAAAAAAAATATTCGACTATTATTAATCGAAATCTGATATATTGAGATGCAGAATTTCCAACTCCTCGGTACATTCTTCCGACCTCACAACACCATTTATCGGATTGAGTTCGTCGATGTAATCTGTAAGTAACCGAATGACGCTGAAATTGACCGTACTGAAAGCCAATTCCAGATGAGACAAGAAAGTTTTCGCGTTCTCCAAACTATTGTATTCGATCCATACAGCACTGACGGTTATTTTCAGAGATTTAATTTCTTCTTCGGTCAGGCTTGTGTATTGTGTTGTAAATTCTCGATTGTCTACAGCGAATTGATTGCTAGCGTCGCATCCGAAAGTCTGACAAAGCGTGACCAGTATTGCAACTAAAAAGCTGACCACACTGGCTATTGTCTCTATGCCGTTGATAAGATTTCTGAGAGCGTTCAGCAAGCTGTGGACATGTGAATCTTCGGTCAACTTTAACATAGTACCAAATTGTACCACTATTTTGTACCATTCTTGCGCGTAATAAAAGTAGGGGCCTGAATTAACAGTGTAATGCAGTAAATATGTAATGTGTTTCAACGTCAGACGGAACATGATGATTTTTAAAAAGTCATAGCACGCTTTATAGTATAATTTTATCGGATAAAGGTTGGTTTTGGTCCAGTCTAGATAACGCGCATTTACCCAAGCCTTATACAGTATCGAGCTAGTGTCGTTCCATTTCATTCTCAAGTTGTATACGTTTTGCAAGTCGTCTTTGAGCTTATCGTACAAGCCCAAGTTATTCAAAAAAAGCGATTTGGTTTTTGTATTCATTTCGAGCCTTTCTTTCAACAAACTATTACTAATTATATGATTATTTTGTAGCTGAGCTTTGGCTTCGCCGAAGTGCCGTATGAATATTATTTTTTTATAAGTATAAAATCCGAACGTCTGACGTGATTCTAACACGCTATCGTACCAGTCGAATAAATTGCCTTGACGACACCCGGCTAGGTCGGCTTCCAGTTTATTGATAACATAGACAAGTGTTTCAACAATTTTCGGATAGTCTCCCGTCGGATTTTTCGATTCCTGGTAAAAGACATTTACCAAACCCGTGAACAAGTGTAGTAACCACATGGCGCCAATACGTATTCCATTCAATCCCAAAAGCGAAACTATCTGCGATTTCACTATGTTGTTGATCTTACCAATGTAGCCAGTCAACCATTTGAATTCTGTATTGTAGGGTTCTTCAAGTAAAAGCTTAAATACCCGCATGTGTGTACACCCGTTAAACATGTATCCGCATTTTAAATCTTTATGGAGTTCATAGTTTGAAATATGTTTTGTCGTATAATCGTACCCGGTTTCTAATGACCACACTGAAATGTAAACGAACAACATCAAGACCAAAACAATTTTCATTGGACCGCAGTGTGTCATGTTTTAGTCTTGAATACGATTTAATTTGTACAGAAACGTTGCGACTAAAGATATTATTAGAATTAACTAGACAACATTTTAATAATTTTGTTTATTCGTATTCATATCGCCTTATAAAAAAAATAAACAGAGTACTGTATCTATATTTGTTTAGACCATATTTTTAACTGGCTAAAACACGTTTAATAATGTTTACTTACTAAATGTTATTTCGGTATATTTATTAAGTACATATCTTACCCACAACTTTGGCCGTTGCCAAACAACCTATGATACATCATACATATATATTTTTTGTATTAAGAAAAATGTATTTACAATTTATACAAATCGCACATTAAAAACCTAGTTATTTTCTCCGCTCCACAAAAAAACATTTAACCATGGATATGTTATCTCTTATCTTTTATCTTTAATCTCTCTATCTTTGAAAGTGAAAGTGCAACGCGAAAATGGCGAAAGAGAGAGGACTAATTTTGGTAGTGGGGTGTGTGAAATTATTGTACGAGTATACCCTATTTGGGAATGTGCTTCTTATCATAACTTCCTATTACATGAATACTATTAAGTCTTTTACTTATCTTGCCGAAGTTTATCTAGAAGTCAACAGAATCTGTATAATTGTGTTTGCGCGTTGTTGTATTGATATTTGGTATTTTTCTGTCTTAAATTACAACACAGTAGGATTGTGATGGACACAGTAATAAATATAAATATGATTGCAGACTGTTCGCTGTTTAAATAATTGTACTTTTAATAATTGATTATAAAACACTCTGTTAATCTCGTAAACTCTATAAAAATGACCGGAGACTATGCTGCTACGACAAGGAGTTTCGCCATTTTTACCGCGAAGATATATTATATGAGTATATAAGTATATTATATGAGGGAAAGAAGATATTACAACAGTTTATCTGTTTTGCCGATTAGTCATTAAGATAGGGAGTTTGTCAACCGGAAATAGCGTGCATATGAGGCGGTAAGTGATTACAGATTATAATATTTATTATCATTACCTGCCGATTATTTGAATTTGTTAGTAGATGATTTTGTGGCGTTGGCCATGCTGGTGGTTGTAACGATACAACATTTGTCACCAAAAATTGACATGTAGCGCAATAAAAATCGTGAGTGTAAAAATAACGTGTATTTATCACAATTCTACGAGAGCGAGTATGCCAGCTTTGTAAACAATTAAACAACAACACTCTGCAAAATATAATTTCATTTTACTTTTTCGACCGATGTATGTAAGCCCATCGACAAATCACAAAAAAATCACTTGAAGATATCTTGTTTAATAAGTCGATCGAGTTAATCTTTGTCTTAAAAGTTCAAACATTTTAATCAATTGAGCAAGTGACACTCTCAACTTCCAAAGATTGTAAGTACACACTGAACACTTTATACATTATTCCAATTGTATACGTTTATAGCTTCCCAGCGATAGTTTTTAACTATTCTTCCAACTCAATAATTTCTACATACATTTTTCTCTAAACTAGGAGCCGTGCTTCGAGTCAATACATTTAAATAAATAACTATATTACAATATTTATATATGATTGCAAATGTATTATTCTGTGCTTATAGTTTCATAAAAAATACTTATAATAAACAAGTTCAATATTTGTGCTTTTTTGAAAAACATTAAATGTTTTTTTATTATTTGCAGTTAAATATGATATTTTACTCCGTTTTGTTATCGTATGCATTCGTGAATATTTTGGCAGATAATATAAGTAATAATTTCATTTATTTTACCTACTCAAAGAAAAAAAAATTAATTAAAAACGTTTTGCTTTTTTTACAGACGACTATATAGAAGAGGTTAACATCACAAGTCAGTATTTTTTTTTTACTTACAAAATAACTTTTAATTTTTAAATTGTATTGTTCTAAGAATATGTTTCTTATATATGAATTATTGTTATTTTTTTTAAGACATTTTTAATTAATTATTACAGACCAACTCATTGAGACTGCTTGTCAAGTCTATGTTCCTAATGCAGGCCTGTGTAAGAAATGTTTAAAATGAATACACTGATATAAACATTTTTGGTTTTCCCGATTATCAAATTATTTATAAATATTAAAAATTATAGTCTCTTTAACTTAGAAGTATCAGATTTTTATAATTTCCTCAGAGTCTACTTGGCTAAAGTTAATAGACATTGCCTGTATAACCTAACAGAGAAAGTATCGTTAAGTTAAATAATTACCATTTAGAGCATGGTGTACTTTTATTATGAATATTTTTTCTACCATTATGATTTTATTTTTTTTTAAATTGTTTTTATACAAACCATTATTGTTTTATTTTAGATGGATTGGAGTATACAATTAAAAGAATTCTTCGCGAAGATAAATATCCAATGGGTAATCATAATAATATAACAAAACATAAATAAAATTAGTTTGTTAGTAGGAATACATTTGATATGAATATCCTAACAACAACTCATCCGATAGAATTCTATACTTTATAAAATTAAACTTGGTTTTAAAAAACAAACAAAAATGGAATTTTTTTAGCTGAAAGATAAGTATACTTATGAAATATTTCTACAACTGTTTTTTTTTTTATAACACAGCACTCAATTTATAAGAATGGTCCAGAGTAGTTTGTGGTCTTTGTGCCCTCGATTTTTGAATGAAACCTTCTTAATAATCTTAAGGTAATAAAAATTAACGATTCGGAGAGATTATCTAGGGGAAGTTGTTTAATTGAAGCTCTAACTAAGAAAACAAAGTATTCTTCATAAGTAGTATTGTCTTAGTAGGTAAATTCGCAGGCTTTTAGGTATAGGTAGAAATTTAAATTTTAGCCCAAGTCTTGTGCGCTTAGGCCTTCAAATACAAACACATGAGTTTTTTGCCTATTCAATAGAGCAAAGCACATTTTTTCAATTTTATTATTTAATTTAGAATGGTAAACTAAAATCAGTATAATTTAATAATCAATTAACGTAACATCGATTTCAGAGCAATTGAATTTCATGATGGCAATACCAGGTAACAATTTTCTTGGAATTTTATGGTCATATGTACACATTCGTTTGATGTTCATTAAGTATAAGACGTTTTCGTTTTAATTTCAGATTATACAAACAGATCTTTCAGCAGTAATTTTTATATACCTATATTATATTTCATATCTATAATACATTACACAGTCTAATATGTATATTATTAACATATATCGAGAATAATCACATACATAAACTATTAAATTAAAACTTAATTTGTTTTGAACATAGGATACACCAGATATCAGGAAAAAATGCAACGTGAAATAATCACCGCCATAGGTAAATTTAAAATGTATTTATTTATAACCATAACGACTAACATGTTAAATAGATGATGTCTTCCAGAAATGCATCTATAAATAGTTGTGGTATTTGCTTTAATATTAAATTTCCAAAGTATTTAACCGGATTCGAAAATTGTTTGGAAGATTCGCTGTTCAGTTATTATTTAAATGTCACTGATATTTGTAAAGTATAGTTGTAGCTTTTGTTCAGAATTGGGTGATTTTAAGGATTTGATGTTAAATCTAAAATATAGGCAAAATTATATGGAAATCTAGTTTTTTTATTATTACTAGACAAACCGATTCTTCAACAAGTAATTTGTGTTATAAATCATATTTCATAATTTTAATCTTCACATTATTTATATATAAATGTATAAGATATTTTACCTTGACTAATTGGTTTAGTTAATTTCTGGTTGAGTGTAACTTTTATAAATAAAATATAACAACCAGTTTTTATTAATTAATTTATTTTATCTTGATATTTTGTTACAGGTATTGATATTCCTAAGGCAAAACAAGGTAATCTCGCATTTATTCGATTATCATAAAATTTAGTTTTTCAATTGAATTTTTGAATTAAAAAAAATAAAAATCTACTTCGTCCGCCTCAAACTTGGAAGAATTGTTGATTTTTTACAATAATTTAAAAGACCGAATGTGCAAAAAAATATATTAGAAGTAATTTGAGGGGGCAGTAGTTTAGTATAGTCCCAAACTGGAGACTGGATGTTCTTATAAGTACGTTCACTGCACTGTTACCGGGGGGCTGGGCTGGTGGTTGGTGGCTGTTAGGCAAGTGTAGCTGCAGTCAGTCATAATTCGATTTCTGAGTTCTCTGCTAAACTCTAAAAAGTTTAGTAAGCCTTTAATGTTATATATTATATGGAGTGTGGCAAATAGTTTTTCTTGGTGAATATGTAAATAATAAAATATGTATAAAAAATAAATATATACACAATTGTAAAATAATTTTTTTAAACATATTTTGCAGGTGATAGTTTGGAAAGTCTAGGAGATAAAAGAAGAAAAATAACTGGCCCAACTATAAAACACTTACTCTACAACGTTATGCTACATGCGACACGTAAGTATTTATTTAAACTTATCATAGATTTGCTTTTTTAACTAAAATATCCGTGTGAACAAATGAAAATAATTAGTTTATACAAATATTTCTTTCTGAATTCTAACTAATTAAATTCTAGACATATATATCACAGATGCATTCCTATCATAGTAACACACAAATCAAGTTTTTTTTTTTAATTCAATATAAATACTTAAACTAATTTTCTTTTTCAAATCTTGGCTTAATAAATGGCGACTGGAGCCATGGCTAAATTTATATAATAAGGGACTAGGTACAAAATATAATTAAAGCTTCTTCATCTTCGCCTTACACTCCTAACTACATGGGGTCGGCCACCCTAGTCCTTTATTTCCATAGAGCTCCAATCTCCTACATCTCTTTCAATCACCTCAGCTATCCTCATATCACTCTTACTCTCTTTTCCTCTACATTCACCTTATAACAACAAAAAAAAACTACAAAATTGCAATTATTTTAAGAGAAAACTGGTGTAGGCCATTAAAGAATCACCCGGTATCATAATACAATACTTAGTCACCACTAAAACATATTTTTTTTAAATAAACAATTCCCAAAAGATGTATACTGAACAAGTTATACTTTTAGTTTCTAATATCTGTGTTTTTTTTTTAATAATAATTTTCAAATAAATAAATTATTCAAGAGCACTTGTATATTAAACAGTGTGATCTACTATGTTCCTCCAAGTAAAATAAAGTTGTCGAATAAGAGTAACATAGCTGTACAATATGGACATACTGTATATTTCATTATTTCCAATCGTGTTGCTTTTATACACGTGTATTAATTGTGTCTTACACAGTAAATAAAACTAGTAAGATAAATTTAACAAATTTGATTTTTTTTTTAAAGTTGGGCAAGAAGATGATCTTTCTCATAAGCAAAAATGTCATTTAATTGGATTGGCAATGAGTACAATAAATCCATCGAATTATATAGTAACCGCTAATATTGAAAATAATACTACTTGTGTCATAACTGATTTTAATAACAATATTAAAAAATACAAACAGTTTGAAGGCAAATTTTGGGAATTAGAACTCGATCATACAAAAAAAGTAAAACTTCTTGATCAGTTATATCAGCCAGACGATTTAGACCAGTTTATCGAATTCCTTTAAAATCAAGTTCGTTTTTAATAATTAAATGTTTAAATTATTTAACACTATTGTTATTTTATTTAAATAATTTTTTACATACAGCGCTAAAATAGTCATTTTAAAATTATTGATTTTATTTCTGTTAATTATACAATTTTGCGATTTTAAACAATTTTTTGTTCATTATTGCAACTATATCATTTTTTAATCGATATAAGATTTTGCAGTTTTTATCTCTTATACACCTCAGTTTTCTATAATCTCTTTTTGGTCCAAAACGTTAATAAATTTAAAAGTTATTATATAAAACTGGCCATCTCCAATCTATCAAAAGTTAATATCGCTCTGAAAAATACTAAAAAAGGTAAATATTTAGTAATTGTATGGTATTTTACAATAACATAAATACAAATATTTCCTAAAACTACAAAATTTCCCATCATAAATGAATCACCTTGTATGAGCTTAATGAATCTAATGCAAACATTATTTTTAAAACCCATAACTGAAGAAAAAATAGTCTAAACACCTCATCAGACAAAGTTAAACATGTAATCATACTGGCAAATATGAACCAGCTATGTAAATAAACTATCATAGGCAATCTAGAACATACAATTGAGTTATACTATTATGGTCGATATATAAGTCCGTCGAAAGTCACAAGAAAACCACTTCAATCGTTTCAAATAGTCTCTAAGTAAGCAACTTTCCCAACATTTAAAAATTGTAAGTACGCATATTATACATTTTTATTGCTCTTTTTATACTATTACGGATGTTCCAAATGACCCATCAAAATGTTCAGTAAATGTTTAACCTCTAATCAGATGTAATGAAATAGATCTATACGATTTTGTTTCAAAAATTCAATAAAAGTGTAGTAAAACTATTTTTACTGAGAATCTTCAAAAAATTCAATAACACGAATATAAACAAATTTACTCAATAAAAAAAATTTACATTAATTATCTTTTACTATCTCCGTTTTTTTTGCAAAAGAGCCTTTACATAAAAACGATTATGTTATACACCACACCGTGCTTAAAGTATTTATAAAAGAAAAGCTTTAATGTCTACCATTCTTTGCAGGTAAAAATGATGTATTACTGTATTTTAATACCATTCACCTTTGTGCATATTTTGGCAGTTGATCCGAGTAATGCAGTTACTGCGAGTAATAATTTAATTACCCTCCCAAGGTAGTTAAAAATTAAATTATACGTTTTTAAAATTTTTTTACAGGTGATTATCTTAAAGAGGTTGACGTTACGAGTCAGTAACTTTTTTCTTACAAAATAACTCTCGATTTTCTTAATCGTATTTTTCTTAAAAATATGTTTCTTTTAAAAAATTATTACAGACAGGATCATCGAGGCTGCTCGTCACGTTTATGTTGCTAATGCAGGCCAGAGTAAGACATGTTTAACATTAATATACTGATATATAAATGTTTTTTATGTTTTCTCGCTTATAAAGTTCTATATAAATTAAAAACTATAGTTTCTATGGTTCTCAAACAGTTCGGATTAGAAATGCACTACGTTTATAGTATTAGTGTTTCAAACTCACTGTAATCATTTAATTTATGAAAGTAATTTATACATTAAATATATAATTAAAATTGCTAGCAGTTTTCATAAATTCCTTAGTGGACACCTGACTATGAGAAGTGACTCTTTAACCAAACAGAGTGAGAAGCGATAAGTTAAATAGTAACAGCTTAAAAGCACAGTGAACTATTATTCTGAAAATCTATACTTCGATTATGATAATACTTAGCTCAAACCATATTATTGTATTTGTTCCAGATGGGTTTGAGTACACAATTAAAAGACTTGTTGTTCTCTTTCATAAAGACTATAAATTGGGTAATATAATAATATATATGTTTGAAAGTGATATACATTGGTCCTCAATAAAATAAATATAAATTAGGGTTAGAATATGCTGATTTAAAATCATGAGTAATAAATGTTTCTACAAGTTTTTTAGAACAGTAGCTCCCAATTAAGACATCTTCTATTCAATATATTTTATTCTACTCGCCACGTTTGGCTTAATTCGGTCATTTCACTATCATTAAGTTTGCACTATGCTTAATAAACCATTTTATAAGAACCAAGCACATTTTCACTGAGTTACTAATACACGGCAATTATTTTTTACTTTGACTTTCGTCTTCTAGTTTAGAATAGAATAAAAAACAAAATACAATGTAATTTAATAATCAATTTGCGTTACGTTAATTTCAGACCAATTGAATTACATGTTGGCAATACCGGGTAATAATTTTTTTTAAATATTTTATGCTAATATTCTTACAAAATTTGTTAAAATATTCATTAAGTATAAAATGTTTTTGTTTTCATTGCAGATCACGTGCATAGATACTTCGAAAGTAACTTTAATACATTTCGTTTTAAAAAATATTTTACATAGTCTCAAATGTACATTAAAAAAATACATTATAGATAATAATCATTTAGATATTCCCATATTGATTGCAAGTATGCAAAAAGATGTACATTAAAATTAAATTTGTTTTGAATTTAGGATACATTAAATTCCAGGACAAAATGCAGTATGAAATAATGAGTGCTATAGGTAAATAAAAAACTGCAAAAGTTATGCAAATTTTATTTCAAAATTGATAGTTAATTAGTTCTTAATGAAAACAAAAAATGTTCGAATTGAGTTCAAAATCAATCATAAAGCAATAAAAATAAATCTTTATCCTCGAAGATTTCATGATCGTTCGACACATAGTTTGTTGTTCAAATACGGCTACTAGAAATAATATTATTTTTCACAATGTTTTACATTGACTAAATATTGGTTGGTTTAATGTTTTTTTAGTCATCGATAGGCCTACGGCAAGAGAAAATCCAGGTAATCACCCATTTATTTGATAGTTGTAAATTTTTAGAACATATTATCAAACAATATTATTAAAATTTAATCGATACCATTTTGAATGATTTTTTGATAACCAAAAAAAAAATTCTTCTTTACTAGCCTAAAAATTGGAAATAAATAACCAGTTTTGAGAATACAGTTTAACAGTTAATAAAGTTTAAAATTTAGAGGCGGAGGAAGGTCACACAAATTTTACTATGCTATGTTATTTATTACTGGCCAGATTGATTCTCAGAGTTGGTCATTATTTAAATCTTTTTTTTATTTAAAAAAACTAGTTTTATAAAATATTTTTCGATTTAAAAAAATAGATAAAATAAAACCTAATTTTGATTTTATCAAATCAAACATTTTTATAGAAATATAATATAAAAAAGCTAAACTTGAAATTTGTGTTGGCATGATTAAAAACGCGTTCCGCCGTCGCACTAGGGTCCTAGATAAAGTTTGCTATACAATGCTTAGCAACTGCAATTATATCAATAAGATTATATTCTTGTTAGTAGCACGATTATTAATTATTTTTTGCAGTTGAAAGTTTGCAAAGTCTTGGAGATAAAAGAAGAAGAATGACTAGACAAGCTATAAAAAATCTGCTCTTCAAAGAAATGATGAAATTGATATGTGAGTTTGATACTAAATTCTCGTTCATATTAAGTTTTAATGCATATTGCAGATTCATCCCTATAACAGTGACACACAAAAATATTTATATTATTTTATTGTTATATGAGCTCCCCAAAAGAAAAATGGTGTAAGTCAAATTTTTGACAATGTAACAAAACACAATAAAAATGTTAGCAGTTAATCTTCTCCAAGTCTAAAATTTTGTTCGAAAAGAGGAATTAAAAAAATAGTTCTTTTAGGGAAAAGGGTTTCTATTTTTTTTTTTTAAGTACACCGATAGTACTTATATTTAGAGAATAACGAAAACATATTTAATCCAAATTCGACTGTTTTAAAAAATATTAAAACACGCCGAAATTTTTTTTAATACACTTGTATTAGTTGTGTGTAGTACAAAAAAAATAAACTAGTATTTAGTAAACTAAATTTGAAAAGTAATTATTATTATTATTTTTTTTTTTTTAGTTAACCAAGAAGGAGATTTCACACTTATGCAGAAATGTTATTTTATTGGATTGGGATTGAGTACAAAAGATGGAATCGATTTTACAAAAACTGTTACGATGCAAAATGATACTTTTTGTGTCATAAAAAGTGTGAACGGCATTTTTCATAAATACATTGAGTTTGAAAACAACCTTTGGGAAGTAAGATACAATCAAGTTAATATTAGAATAGGAAAATTTCTTGATCAATTAAATGAGTTCGATTAAGTAACATTTGGGTAAGAAATAACATTACAATTAAGTTTGTTTTTTATAACTAATACTGTTGATTAATACTACTGTCATTGTATTTAAATATTTGTTTGCACACTACACTAATTTTCTCATTGTCAAATAATTTAATGTCATAATAAACGTTTTTGCTCATTATTTCAAACACATTTATTATTAATGTATTATTCATAATAATAATTGATGCCTTTTGCAGTGCCCGTTATTCCTCTCCATCTAATATTACCTATTGCCAAATCTTCATCATTATTCCTAACAAGTTTAGGTCCTTTTGTACACTATCCGTCCAACTGAGTTCTTAGTTTCCGTTTTCTCTCCAAATAACCCTCGACCGTTATCACCATGTATAAATTTCACCTAACTAATTATAAATATAGTACTTTAAATTTTGTATAAACCCCTTAACCTACATATATAAAAATATACGCTACAAGTGAGTTAGATGTAGAAGATATATTCTAACGAGTTGCTAATTAATTTTGTAAAAATATTAGCCATACACTTTTTTATGGCACCTCTTCTGAACTAAAAAAAAAGTTGCAAAGTTAAAGTAGTGGTGAACAGTACACTGTACCGTTAAATGTATTAAAAAAAATCTTTATTTGAATTGATATTTCTATGTATAACCGTGCGGATTGCGGTTGCACATGAACTGATTAAGAAGAAAAAATGGACTGTATACATAGGCAAGGAATAGAGTTTATACTTTTGTAATAATATTAAAACAAATAACCACAAAATTTTATTAACTGAAATTAACTGTAAATAATATATTGTGCGTATGAAAACAACTAAAAAAAAGACTAAGATGATGTATAATAGTAATGATGGTAAGCACGACCTGATTATGACCTGGACTCCTCTGATAGTAGTCTGGCCGGTCGGCGGCGGTGTTGACATGAGAAAGCACCTCCTGATTCCAAACACTCCTTACACTAAAATATTACACTAAAGGCGATATTGCATGGCACAACCGGATCGCACTCTCTAATTTGCGATAAAAAACAAAAACAAATTGGTTTTGCTGTGTATACCTACAAGTTATACAAGCAAGGTAAAGGGACGAACAAGAAATGAAAATGGACGAGCGAGTTAAGGAAAGGCATCGTAATTTGATAGTTTTTCAGTTGGGAACAACATCGAACTAGTTAGCAAGCTAACTAATTACAAAATTCAACCAAACGACAGACTGATGTCTTTCGAAATTGTAACTTTATTTCATAGTATTCCCACAGACATAACAATAGGTTTTTAATAGATTGGTTAAATAATTTATATAAAAAACTAAATTAATATAGAAAAAGCTAAAATGAATGAATTAATAAATTTAACAAAATTATGAGTCAAAATGTATTTCAGTTTCAGAATAGATTCCTTGCAACAAACTGAAGGCACAACGATGGGCAATCCATTATCACCTTTTTTAGCGAAAGTTTTCATGAGTAGGTTTGAAACAAATATTTAAAATAGTAATAATAATTTTCCGAAGGCTTGTAGATGGCATGTTTGCTATAATAGAGAAAGATTTCAATAATGATGTTTTTCTTCACGATATAAATTCTCCTTATCCTTCTATTACATTAACATATGATAAAGAACTTAATTTAATAACTGAAATAGCTAAATTTAACGGGTATGATGCAAATATGATTTTTAGATTAGTTAATAAGCATAAATTGTCAAGGGGAGATAGAATAGTCAGTACGCCTAGTGGGAGGGACAATGAAAAAGTTATAAGATCGGGTATGGTTTATTTTCCAGGTACTTCAAGGGGGTTAACAAACATTTTTAAAAATTACGGTATTACTCTAGTTGCATAAAAAATTAATAACTTAAAATCTTTATTAGATAGTACCAAAGATAAAATAGGGGAAGAGAAAAAATCAGGGATTTATAAAATACAATGTGAAGAATGTGATAAATACTATATAGGTCAGAGCCAGTCAATATTTCACTGGATTTAATTAAAATAATTTTTTTTTTCTGAGTTTATATAATGTGATCTCAACTCAATACATATATTTTAATATTACTGTGGGGGGGGGGGCGGAGAACACGTGTCGATGCTGCTGGTGTAAACTTTTATGTATGTGCTATTGGGAAATATCATAATCTCTTTTGACAAATTATAGAATCAATTTATCATCAACTGGGCATTCGGTCATAGGTTCTAATGGTCATAGGTTTCTACATAATAAAGTTTTCTTAGATACGTGGCCCCATTAATAATGAAAAAATATACCTTTTATTTTCGGTTAACCATTTCATACTTATCAATTATCACTATTTTGCTTTCACAAATCCACCTTGGTTGCGGTATTTGCGGTTGAGCACTATGATATATAATATCATTATTTTTTTTATTATTATGAAACAGAACACACTAAATTGATAAAACATTATAGATTGTAGAATGTCAATCGATTTTTAAAATATAATAACTAATTTACAGTAACTTACTTTATGTTATTATTTAGGTATTCGTTTAAAACATTAATATTTCTTAACTTAATAAATAACTTTGTGGTCTATAACACAATACTTAAAATACCAATGTAACGCTAACAAAAGTAGTGATTATCTAGGTTGGTACAAAAATAAATTAAATAAATTAAAGTAGGTTGCTATACTAATTTTTAGTAATATTTTCATCTTTAAGTCATATTAAAGTAAAAACATGATGCAGCAAGAGTAAAATAAACTAAATGATTTACTATTGTGTATGGGTTCTCTTTAGATGTCTTTCAAAAAATAAAACATAAGTACATTAATAAATAATTTGTACGATGCACAGCTCATTGCCATAAGTTGAATGTAAATATATTTTTTTAAATTTCATATTGTGCGGCTAGAATTGAACTATACTTGGTAAACAAATAAAATACTTCACAATTTCGAGTAGTTATCTAAAACCAAACATGACCAACAAATTGATTGAGTACCATTTTAAAATTGAATACCCAATTTGCTTAAATCTTACCTTAAATCGGTCAACGACTAATAGAGTAAATGATGTGTATCACCGTGTTAAAAGACGAAACAATTTTCAAATAAAATTTATCTCGAAATCGATTAGTTTACATGATGAGATAACATTATATGAGAATATTATGGAGAAAAAAAAATTAAATTATAAATTAAACTCAGTGAGATATTTAGAGGTTCACGGTAAGTGGATCACACTGTATTGTAAAACCCGCTTTATAAGGTATTCGCACAAATGCTAAAAAAAAATAACTCTTCGAATAAATAATCGCAAGAAATACACTGTTATTTTCAGTTTACTTAAAAAAAAACATGCATTTGTTTTTGTTATACGTTTGAAACATGTTTCGTATGGCTTACAAATAGGGAATGGATAGCAACCTTAAGTAGTTTTAGTTAAAGCGCGTTCATGACTAAACTTAGTTGTTAATTTTATTTAAAAAAAAAAAAAATAATAATAATACAGAAGTTTTCGAATAAAATGTTTTACAGTGTGTCAAATGGCTTTATGATGTTTTTAATAATCAGTATGTGGCAAATGTTGATATTATGTAACAACAAGGAAAATCTTATCTGTAGAATCAACGCCATACTAAGCAATCCTGGATGGTGTCAAATCGACCATATTAAAGGCAAACGACTAGGGTCTACAAGTTCATTTTTTGGCAATGTACTGTTTGTGCCCAACGAAAAACCCAACCTTTTCCACGTAACCGACAAAAATGTCTACGAAAAATACTCGATGACGGCTCGATTGATTGGATGTGTGTATGCAAAGGCCATATTAGATTATGTATCTTGTATTCTATTTATTGTTGACGAGAGCGCGCGCGAGGGAAAAAGTGTGAGCAATAAGATGCGTTGCCGAAAACGTTACCGTAAAATCAAGAAGGTATCTCCTCCAAAAGATAAAGGACCGGATTTAAACTATGACAGATTTTGGGACATGCTCGATCTAGCGTCGGGCCAAATAAAAAAAAGTCACGAGATGTTTGACTGTATAACCGATGCATTGAGCTTTCTGGAAGAATCTTTGAATACACTACGTGAAGGCCCAAACAAAGAACCGGATTCAAATATAGAGCTTATAAAGACAAGTGTCTTTCTATTGCGTAACGTGAAGTATATTTTAAGCCAATACAACGAGGAAAACCGTGGTAAATACAACAAGACCATTTCGAGAATTCCCGTTATATGGAAGAATATGTTTAAACACCATATAGTAAACAATTTGATTTATATTACAAACGATCACTGCGTAATGATACACACTACAAACACAAGCGAACCTCAGACCTTAAGTGTGCATCAAGCCCGCGTTATTCAGTCAGTTGAAGACGCCCAAATAGAAATTGAAAATCTCATCAACTTGGTCGTCAATAATTACTACCGGAAATTAGGTTTCCAGGATGAAAAAAAACTGCCGTAGTATCAGAAAGCGTACATTTTTGTATTCTTAACTTATATATTAATAAGTATATTTTAGTAGATATCATATAATTTTCTTAGACATAATTTAATACTCCGGCTGTCTATTAAAAAATGTTTTGTAATAAACAATTTATCTCATTATAACTGACACTTTATGATACAATGTAATTGCTTTGATTTCCATATTATGGTTGAATGTACTTTCATGAGATTTTAACTGAGTTTTTAGCAGACGTGTTTCACGGTGTATATTCAACGGCATAACGACATTTGGCGTTGTTGATCAATTTGAAAATAACTCAACCATATACTTATGTTTTTAAATTTACCTAAGGTGAACTTGAATTTGTTCGTGACCTACGAAAAACGCGTTTATACGGGTTTAAAATGGTATACTTACAGCAAACCTTTAGTAGTTACAGTTAACGTACCATAATAATTTAGTACCAAACTCATTTTAACCATATTTTTCTGTTTTTCTGCGGTCGATTGTAAATATACTCGAAAACATTTTTTTTCTCAAAAGTGTCAACAAAAAAAACATAGCTAAACGCTTATAGTATTGAGTATTAGTACAAACGAAAGAACGGTTTGTTGTTTTTTTTCTGTTGTGTAACCCGGTGCAACAAGACTCAGACAAAATATGCTATACAGTATCCAAAGGTTTTGCCTTAGGATATTGTGTTATATTTTATTGACATTGATACTCTTAACAAGGACTAGCAGCAA